TTCCTCTCCTTTCTCGTTTCTCATTCATAAGTGTACATTTGATTTTGTCTTTGTTACCATATTGTTTCTCTAATACTAAGGCCAAAAAGAGTGATGAAGAAGAAGAGAAAAAAAGAAGAATCTGTACAAAAAGTGGAGACTATACATTCAAAGAGAAGAAAAAAAACAAATCAACTGTTGTGCAATGAACAATAGTGCAAAACATCTGTAAGAACACGTCCAACATTTGAATCAATAACATGTGAAGTAGATAAATTTAAAATTCGATCTTCATATCGTTTCATCATTTTAATATTATCCGTATAACTAACTATTGAAAGTAAACATGTTGCTGCACGTTTTAACATATCACTTGTTGTAAATAAAATTTGTTCAGCATGTTGAGCATTCGATTGTTGTGTTGTAAGACGTATAACATAATCTGGACCATAACGTGCCATTAATTCATTTGTTTTCATTTCATAATCTTCTAAAAAATTTATTAATAATGATATAGCATATGGTATATGTGCAATAACACTAGCAGCTAATGAATCACATCGTACTAATGCATTTAATAAAACAATAGCAAATTCACGTTGAATATGTGTTCGTGGTCGAGAATAAGTTGGATAATAATGTGTTGATGATGTTATTGGTGGTGGATGCCAATTTGATATACCACCATTGATTTCATCAACAATTAACCAATCAGTTAAAACATGAAATAATGATACAATACGATAAAATGGTGGTGTAGCAAGTATAAAATCCATATTCATTTCATGTACACTTAATTTTGTTAAAATTTCAATAGATAAACGTTGTGCTGATATTAATGATGAATGTAATGAATCAATAGCTTCACCAGAATAACATGTTGACCAATGTAAAAGACCATCAATTAATGTATATAATAAATCCGAATCAAATGTATCAAGTACAAGTGTACCAGCAATATTAGCCAATGTAACAAGAGTATTGTCACGTATATTTAATACACATTCTGCCCAAGAAAATGATGGTGATGATTTTTGTTCAGAATTCTAAAAATAGAAAAATAAAATACTTTTTTCTATTTAAAAAATATATATGTTTTACTTTTAATTCATCTTGATCTACTGTTTCATTAAGAGATGTTTGATTATCTGACATATAATTGTCATTAACTCGATGCCTGAGTAATAAAAGACGAGCTAATAAACCAATTAATGTTTTAGATTTGACTAATTCAATATCATTGCCCAATATAAAACTGAGATTACGTAAAATAGATGATACACAAGTACAACGTGCACATATTTGATCATAAGCAAGTGAATGATATGTAAATAATGATGAAACATTCTCTTGTTGATCACTTGAATTTGTACATGAATCAGAATCTTTTGTATGATTTGATTTTGTTGTTATTGATGATGATGAACATATACCAGAATAAAGTTCATATGTCTGTCGTTCATCATATTCAAATTTTCGTTTATAACGTTGAAGAAATGCTTTATTACTATCTGAGATTTCTATTAATGAATCGGAATTATGACGACGACGTTTTGGATTATTATCCAATATTGACATTTCATCACATGATATATCATCTTCAGATGTTTTTATACGTTTACGTGATATATTTTGACATTTTTTTATTGGTTCTTGATCATGTTCATCAGTTGATATATCATCTAGACGATGACCATAATAAAGTTTCTCATAATAATTATCATCCAAACGTATAGGATCAAAATGAGTATTTATAAAACATAAATCATTTGTATTTTGTAAATCTAATACATTTGTTGGATCTTTTTTTTCATTTCCTTGTTCATCATAAACACGATCATAAACAATTGATTGTTCTTTATTATATTTTCGTTTATATTTATTTAATGAATTTGATTCTACACGATAAATAATTGATTCTTGTTGTCTATGTTCATGTTTTTTTATAGTTGTACATGTTAAATGTGATGAACCATTTAAATCATTTAATGATGGTTGTTGATTTTCAATATTTGATGGTGAATTTTGAAATTCATCAAATAATTGTGTTAAACATTTAACATATATATCAACAATAGCTTGTAATAAACCAGGCATTTGTTTTAAACGAAAATATGTATGAGTTTGATCATCAGATAACATTATATTTATTGTATCTAATGCCCAAGTTGTTTCAGCAAGTAAACCACCACGTAAAGACATCATTAATTTCCATGGATCAACTGGAGTAACGTCTTTTGCAGTTAATTTTTTACGTTTAATTTTCGAAGGTATTGTTGTTGCTTCAACAGAATTTGGTGGAAAATTAGGTGTTGGAATTGATGTTGGTGTTAACGTAGAATTTGTTGTTGGTGTTGTTGAAGAAGTTAAAATAGAAATAGGTGTTGATGTTGAAAGCATAGATGTATTTGAAGATGTTGAACGAAGTTGATTCATTAATAATTTATTTCCTTTATTTGAATCTTGATTGTCAAGATTTGATGAATCTGTTGTTATAGAATTTTCAGCTTTTTTATAAGGATAATTTGCTTGATTTGGATTTGGATATGTTTGATTAGGTGGAACTTGTTGAGATAAATATGGATCATGTGATTGTGGAGGTCCGCCCATCATTGATGTACGTGGTTGCTGTTGTTGTTGTTGTTGATAACTAGATGGAGGATAAGGACTAGAAGAAAAAAAATTATACATTAAGATTCTACGTGAGAATTTAAAAAATTTCTTTTCTTTTTTTTATACCTCGGTATAGGTTGTTGAGGTTGATAATGATATGTTTGTTGCGGTCCTGTAGATGGATGTGGTGCTTGTTGATTCGGTGGTGCACCTATTAAGTTCGATGTTTGTGGTGAATTATAATCTTGTTGTGATGAAGGAGTCATCTGTTGTTGTGGTTTTGATGCAATTGATGGATATGGTCCTGGTGGTCGATGTTGAGGTGGCATAGATGCTGATGGTTGTTGACCTTGTTGTGGTGGTGGCGGTGGCATACCATAAGCATTTGGTGGTGGTTTCATCATTTGTGGAGGTTGTTGTAATTGTTGTCCTGGTGGTGGTGGTGGATAACCAGCACGTTGATAATCCATTTCTGGATTATTATACATCATTTGTCCACCTGATGATGGATCATAAGGTGGTTGTAATTCATTACCAGTTGCACCATATGGATGCATAGGCATTTGCATAGGTCGATATTGTTGTTGTTGTTGTGGATGACCCATTGGATGTGGGTGACCCTGTGGAGGTGGTGGATAACCTCGATATGGATCTTGAATAGGTGGTGGTTGCTGTTGTTGTTGTTGCTGTGATGGTAATGGTGGTTGTGGTGGTAGTGGTAAACCTGAAGGTTGAGATTGCGAAGGTACTTGTGGAGGTACTAGTTTATTATCATTAGTATTATCATTGCTATTATTTGTCGTTGTTCCACTATTATTTGCTCCTTTCTTTGGCGTTTTTGTACGTTTTCCTTGTTGTTTATCAATGTCAGCTAATATTGGTTCAGGATTAATTCCTCCTCGATCAAATTTACATTCATAATGAAATAATTTTAAATTAATATACTTTTGTTTAACATTAAAAGCTGCACTTGATGAATTCGGAATGTTTAATTTCGATGCTATATCACGCCAATGACGATTTTTTGCTACTTTTGAAAATTCTTGAAAACCATTTTGTTCACGTACACATGTATATAAACGATATAAATCAATTGTTTGTTTCGATATTGTAGGTAAATTACGGCACACTATTTGATTTTCTTCCCATAATTTTTGTAAACGATCAACAAATATATGTCGTTCTTGTCGTTCAGATTCATCACCCATATCACGTAATTTAGTAAAAACTTCTGCTGGTGTACTATGCGAATTTGATGTTGCAGATGAAAGTTTACGTTTTTGTTGACCTTTTTCATGTGAAGGTGGTGGACTATCTGGAAAACTTGAATTACTTGAATCAGCATCATCAGGAACATACGATGACATGCTCGTACCACTGGGTGATTTAGGTCCGTTTGTTGAAGATGATACAGATTGTGCTTGAGATGATGATACAGAAGGTGGAGGAATAGATGCATTATGTGATTGTTGTTGTTGTTGAGGATCAACCATCATTGCAGATGGTGGTTTATTACGATAAGCATTATTATCATCATCCATTGGTTGTACAGGTGGAGGACGAAATTCATTTGTTGGTGGACCATGCATTTGTTGTGGATGATTACCATATGGATCTAGAGAGAGAGAGAGAAAGAGAAAAATACGAATTATTCTTTCTTATAAATAACTTTAAATAAAATTGACTTACTCATTTGTTGTGGTGGATAACCATAACCTGGTGGTGGTATGTTTGAATATTGTTGATCCATATAGTTATGCCCACTTGAATTCATATTATTATTATTATTATTATTATTATTGGTATTATTATTTGTTGAATCACCAACACTACCAGCATTATATGAAGATGAGGGTGGTTGTGAATAACCTGCAGTTGTTGGACCATTGGTCATTGTTGAAGGTGGATATGATATAGGTTGTTGTGATGCATTACTTGAATTCGAGTCTGAATCACCTGTACTACTAGCCAGACCTGGTGTAACTACATCACGTTGTGTTGGTGGTGGAGGCCACGTTGATTGTTGTTGTTGTTGTTGCTGCTGCGGTTGGTGTTGTTGTGGTGGTAGTTGCTGTTGCTGTTGTTGTGATGGAGGTGGTGCATAACCATTGGAACCACCTGGTTTATAAGCAACTGGTCCATTTGAATAGGATGGATATGGAGATGGATAACGTGATTGTTGTTGTGGTGGTGTTGTTGGTTGTGAATTTGAGCGTTTAGGTGAAACTTGTTGTGAACGAGATGTAGGTTTTCCTGATGTCGATGTCGATGGTGATGGTGATGATGCTATTCCATTTTGATATGGAGATCCAGATGAATATGGTGGTCGATAAGCATTTGTATTTGGTGCTGGTGATCGTGGATTCATCATTGCCGTAGCTCCAGGTGGATACTGCGAATATTGTGGAACATATTGAGGTGTACTAGCACTATTTGATGTTCTACTATACATGTCACCTATAAAATCAAATAAAATACAATTAAACTAGCAATGCATGTGGCGCTGTTCGTTTTTTTTCTTCTTGCATATAATAATCATCAATGAGTTGCTCGTACAGCGAGTATAACATTAGCAGTGCAATAAACGAACGAAAAGAGAGAGGAAAAGAGAAGAAAAAAAGAAAGAAAAGAAAAGAATGAAGCTTCTCTATGTAATAGTAGTGGTCGTCGTCGCCACTATTCTATTCTCAATATATGTGAGTGTGCGAAGCGATGGCGGTAAATGACAGGCACACACATACACATACACATACGCGCATAACATCTCGTTGTACTGCTGCTGCTTCTGCTGCTTGCTGTTTCATTCTCCGAGGCTATAGAACGAACGCACGTTTGCTTGCTTGCTCGCTCGCTCGCTCGCTTGCTCGTTCGCTTGCACGAAGAGAGGGAACAGGAAAATAATCAAGCAAGCAACCAGCCTGCCTGTTTGTCCGTCGTCGTCGATGAATAGATGGCAAGAAGGAAAAGTAGAACGCGCAAAAAAAAACGACTATGTTCTTTGCATTGCATTTACTCGACGACGACGAGGAGGACGACGAGAGGACAATAACGATGATGATGAAGGCAATAGCAGGGCAAATGAAAAGAAGAAGACGAAGAAAAAACAATAAAGATGAAGAAAGAAACTACTTTTGAAAAACCTTGTTTCTCTCTTTTTTTTACAATGACAAACCTTGTTGCTGCTGTGAATAGTTGACATATGGTGGTGGTTGTTGTTGTTGCTTTGATGCTGGATGAGGCGGTGGCATCATGGAGGAATTGTTATAGCCACCATTCCCTAGAATAAAAGTCATGAAGATTTAGTTCAGACACGCATACATATAGGAGAAAAGGAAGATGACAAACACTATCACAATAGAGTGTGACATACAGCTCAAAAATACTAAAAATCATGAGAAATACAAAAAAAGAAGAGCAGAAGAAGACTGACAATCATTATATTTAATTTGATATTATACATATTTCTCATTTAGAAAATACAATATTAATAAATAATGAAGGTAATAGCGATTACAATAAATAGGTGCTTTTTCTTCACGGACATATACAAAAATAACTAGTTCTCTTAATGTAACTTTACCTGGCGGTGTTTGTGCCGTTGCCATTGCCATATTACCAGCAGATTGCTGTTGTTGTTGTTGTTGTTGTTGATCATGTGGTGTTGTCGTTGAATCAGTCGCATTCTAAAATAACAATTAATAAAAGTTAGATAATAGCTGTCTATGTATATAAATGATCATTCAATTAGTTCTTCATCGTTACACATTGATGTAATATATAACTCTATTCGTCTTTATTGATATACAAAGATGGATGTATTTCAGACAAGAATCTTTTTGACAGCAAATAGTAAGAGTAAACTTGTCAGTCTAAACTACGCTGTGTACGTCAATTAGATGATGATGAATGAATGAATGAATGAAAATCTTTTTTTACGTACACACTCATTCTTCTCCATTCATTCATTCATTTATTTATATAAATCAACCATATCTCTTTCTCTTCGTCTTTCTCTTGCTCTCTGTTGTGGCAATCATCTCTTTCGTTTCTCACCACGTCCTACTCTCATTTGTAAATGTCCAATTAAAGAACACTAGATGCATGTGATCGTCAATGGGATCAGCTGTTTCATATAAAAAAAAGAGCAAGAGAGAACAAAAAAGAGGGAAATTGATGTCTCTTGACATGCCAACAACAACAAAAACAATCCCGGTAAAAAAATAAAAAATAACATATGAGACAAATGATGATGATGAAAGGCTGAAAGAAAATCAAGGTTATATTACTATGATGTGATTACACATATTTCACTTTCTATATACATAATCGTTTAATGTTTACAATACAAAAAGTACCTTGTCAAATGACACCTGTCATGTTTACGTTTTAAATAATATTTACTCGTGAGTAGGTTAACAATTTGTTAACAAAATAATTCGTTTATTTGAATCTATGTCAGAAGTGTCAGTACATTAAGTTAAAATTACAATTTGACACTCTTTCTAAATATAAACTTAGGTTTTAGAAAATAGTATACACAGAAAATTTTCTGGCGTATATGCATATTTTCATCGAAAAGGTGCGAAATTTTTAAATTAAAATCGAAGTAAAAAATGTACTTATTCAATAAAATCTAATCTAGAAAATATACCATTCAAATTTCGAACTATATTTCATAACAGCATTAAAAATTTCGTTCTCTTCTTATTTTTAATTTTATAAAAATCTAATTAGTAATACCTACTGAAATCATTAGAGTTACATCTATATAGAATGCTATAGTCTTTATCGATATTATATTTCGTACAGAATTGTCAGCTTTACAAAAGTACTACATATATCTTCTAATAAAAGATTTCCGCGAATAGCTTTAAATCCATTCTTTAGGTTATTCAGAAATATCTACACTATTCTTATATAAAAATAGATACAAAATCTCATACATCTATTTCAATCATGCTTACCAAATCTGTATTATTATTATTATTCATTGATGATGATGTTAAAGAACCATCTTTCATGGGATATGGCGATGTCTAGAATATAAAAATTTCTAATAGTAATATGTTTCTTTAAAATTTCATACAAATACAATATTTATTATTTATTACACGTGCAGGAACAAAAACAAGGGATAGGTATGATAATTAGACGAAATATATATATATATAAATATTTACACACATATGTGCACTACCTCAACAGGATTATCGCCATAATTTCCATAATAAGTTCGTCCTATTGATTGCTGATGTTCATAAACACCAGTCTCATGATTATATGGTGAATAATAACCACTTGTACGCGATTCATATGTATCAAATGGTGATAACTGAATATTATTATGATACAATATACTCATTAGTATTATTATTATTTCGAAATGATTAGTAAACAAAACTAAAAGAACAAATACTTACAATTTGTTGTTGATGATGAGGAGATCCCGATGGATATCCTTGATACATAGAACGATTTGGCATTTGAACTTGTTGAGGTGATGTACCTTGTGGTGGTCCATTATAAAAATTATTAGTACCCAACATTGGATTCATTATCATTGTTTGTGTTCGATTAGTATTATTATTATTATTGTTATTATTATTATTATTATTAATATTATTATTTGGATAAAAATTATTAGCTGCTGATTGTGATGATATATCACTCGTTATTGTTTCACCACCAGTTGAATTTGTACTAGTTTTTGTCGATTCGTAAGACATTTTTCTTCTGAATTAATGTTCAGTAATCATTATAAACTGTATGTAAAAATAAAAAACAATCGAAATATAATAAATGTATGTATAACTTACAAGAAATCAAATAAACAAGAGTCGAAATGACGACAAAATTTAAAAAAAAGAATATTGAAAATGTCGTTTTCGCATCTGAAATAAGAAATTCTCCTGTTTTTTTTTCTCTCTTTCTTTCTTTCTTATTGAACACAAAAGACAATATGGACTATATATATATACAGAACAGAGGTCGTCAGATGACTTTTAGAAAAAACAAATCAAATAAAACAAATTACAGATTATTGAAATAAATATATATCATGAATGAAATTTTATGAATATAGAACTAGAAGAATATTTCTGTGAGAATAATATAACAACGCGCTTGGTCGCTCTCGCGAATCGGATTTAATCTTTTTGATTTTCGTAGCCATGATGGTCGAACTTAACCTCCATTCATGACACATGATCAAATGATCCAATGATTATTGTTTAAATTAAATATATTTATCAATGATTGTATTCTATTGAAGAAATTTATTTTGAAAAAATCTAAAGAAAATTTTCTAATAAATAAAAGAAAAAATAAGATTTTTTTAAAGAAAGAAAAATTAACAAAGAAATGTATTGATTATAGGAGAAATTTTTATTAGTAATTTAACAACCAATCATATTCATTTTTTCAGTAAATATCGTGAAAAATATTTTATTGTACTCCTATCACGATATTTCGGATTCACTACAACAAGTGGTTCACCTTGTGTAGGTTTCCAAATAAGCAGTTGAGCATTATTTGCCTAATTATAAATAAAATTAATTTCAATAATAAATAATTTATCATCTTACGGATGGTTCTTGTAGAGCACAAGATGGAATAAAAATATTTCTTTTAAGAAAAATCGGTTGTTCAGGTTCAGGATTACTAATTAATGTTGCTCGTATTCCACGATAGAGATCTGGTTTAACATCAATTTCAATTGTTTGCATCCAACGTATTGTATGAATTATTAATAATTCATTTTTTGTACAATTCATCGCACATAACCATACATAAAATCGTTGGTGTCGATAAATATGTGTTAAACATGATTGTTCACCTTCACATGTTGGAATATCCCTTTGAAAAAAAAATCAAATCAAAGTTCTCTGAAATTTTTCTATTTACCATGGAATCCATGGTACAAATAAATCACGCATATTTATTGTATGTTCAGTTTGTTGATTTATTGGCCCTTGAATTGTAACAACTAGACATGATTTTAAAAGATTATTTGAGTAAATTTTAATTTATTTACCTTGATTTTTTGATCCATACCATGGATAATTTCGTCCACAACTATCATTAATCATTGATACATCACGAACAATTAATTGTGGAAACTATTTATTCAGTATGAAAAAAATATCAGAAAAGATTTACATACTTCCCAAGATGAACTAGATAAAATAAAAAATATTATAATTTATTATGATTAAAAATTTAGAACAACTTACTTACAAGCCAAAATCACCATATTGATTTTGAAAAATCATACAATCACCTTTTGGTTTTTTTTTAATATAAATAAATATGATTAAAAGAATATCTTTCAATAAGATACGAACATGCTTGAATAAAGCCTACTTTCCAACATTCATTAGAATGAATTGGTGGAAAACGAAACGTAACTGATGCCCTAATCATAAAAATACAGAGAGAGTTTTCATTGATTTAGTTCATACATAAAAGATGGTGATTTATATTTAAGAACACGTGATGATGTTTCATCAATTTCTGTTGGTCGTTTTTCAATAATTGCTTCAAAATCTATTATTTCAATATATGGATCTCGTTTGATATCATAAAATCGTTGTTTAGTTTCATTTAATTTTATTTTACATGTTTCTTCAATGTAACATGTTGATAAACTATACAAGACATTTATTTCAATCTATAAATCAAACAATGTCATACGTATAATATTCAATTGCATCATTATTATAAGCCATAAATTCACTAGTTTGAATTAGATTATTATCTGACATTATATAAGAATAGTAAATTATTGTAATTGATATACGATTATCACTTACAAAATTACGAAAAATAATTATAGTTATTCGATATTTTTAAAGGTCAATTTCATTAAAATTAGATTTAAAACAATTTACATTTTCATCATTAATTTATAATAAAAATCTAATGGATTAACCAGTTTTAACGTATATGTTTAATCAACCAAAAAAAAATTATTACAGAAGGAATGTTGGAAAAAATTATATTGAACTGTATTAGCAAGAAAAGGGAGCGAAATAATATCATCAATATATTTTTAAGATTTTCAATTATAATAATTACTCAATTAGTAATAAAAACAGAAATATCATAGTAGTATTCGAATGATACGAAGATGTTTATAAATTCAATAATGAAAAAAAGATTATTATCATTCATGTGTATTGAAATATGATTATTCTCTACTTAATGTAGTTACACATTTTTCTTTATTTAATATATAAACAGTAATTATTATCATTTATGTGAAGAACTTGATATTTATTTAATATAGTTTTAAACTTATTTTACTGTCAAATATTAGATTTGTCTTTGAATTCATTGTGTGCAAATGATAGTTTTATTAAAAGTAATGAGAGAGAAAAAAAAGAAAGAATGTTCGGTAAACTATGTCACAAGTAAGACAATGAATAAGAAAAAAAAAGTAGAAGCTCCTGTCATAGGCAGACAACGAATGTCAGTATGTTGAATTGAAAAATGTCATGCTGTGAAAACAATACATCTTATTCACTTTCTTATATTTTTCTTTTATTAGTTGTAACCAACTTTTTACTTTCACTTCTAACAAAATGACTGATCGTCGATTATCTCATTTGAATGCAGCTTTTGCTGAACTTCGTTCTCATATACCAAGATTTCCATATGAAAAACGTCTCTCAAAAATTGATACACTTCGATTGGCTCTTGCTTATATTGAATTTCTGGATGGTCTTGCACACACAAATTTAACGGTACATGAATATATTGCACATTCTCCCAAATGGACTCATTCTGAACTGGCTCTTCGCCTACGTTGGCTCGATTGGAACTATTTTCATCCTCACTAAATTATATTTTTATGTAATCTAGTCTGTTTTTTTTTATTGTGAGAAAAAATTAATAAAAAGCATCAGATGAAGGTGTGTGAAAATATAGCTGATGTTAACTTATAAAATAAACTGAGATAAGATCAGATGTATATAAGCAATGGACAATTCACAGCTATTTAGTTTTCGTATTTCGTATACTGTCAGTTTCGAGAATGCGTCTTTTGGCTCCGTTTGCCGTTCTTTTGGTCAGCATTGCTTTTGCACAAAGTCAACTTGTTGTCCCTCAAATCAACAACTTCAATGCAGTAATTTCCTTATTACCTCAACTCCAAGTATACTCATCATTTTTACACATCAATTTATAAAATACAGTACTTCTTTGATATTTTAGGGTTTTCTTGGTCAACTTAATAACATTCTTCCTCAACTTAATGGTGTTCTCTCATCATCTGAATTACACTCTCTTAAAGATAAACTTATTCAATTTGTTGTAGCTCAACTTGGAAGTAACCTTGATCTTAATGCAATCAAAGACAAAATACGACCAATACTTCAACATTTTCTTGCATCAAAACCACAACGTAGTTTTGATTTTGATCAACTTCTTCAACAAATTGTTGGCGCTACCACTGAAGCTTTACCTAGTATCATTCTTAATATGGTCGGCAAACGTGACGCTACCGACGCTCGTATTAATGTTAATGATATTCTTCAATTTGTTAACAATAATCAAATACAAAACTTCATTCCACAAATTCAACAATTCTTAAATGGAGATAAATTACAACAATTACAAAACCAATTCTTCGCTACTATTCTTACTGGTGCTGGAAACAACTGGAATGTTGCTACCATTGCTCAAACCATTCAACAACTCGTTTCACAATTTGTACCACAAATTGGTCGATTTGACATTAAGTAAGAGAAAATAATAAAATAAGCATGAGATTTATTATTTATTTTTTAGTTGGGGTGGTATCGTTGACAGTGTTGTAAATGCTATACCAGGTGCTTTACTAAGTGCTGCACCAGGTCTTCTTTTTGCTTTGTTGGGTAAACGTGATGCTACTGATGCTCGTCTTAATCTTAATGATGTTATTCAATTTGTTAACAATAATCAAATACAAAACTTCATTCCACAAATTCAACAATTCTTAAGTGGTGATAAATTACAACAATTACAGAACCAATTCTTCGCTACTGTTCTTGCTGGTGCTGGAAACAATTGGAATGTTGCTACTCTTGCTCAAACCATTGAACAACTCGTTTCACAATTTGTACCAGAAGTCTCCCGAATAAAAATAAAGTAAAAGAAAATAATAGAATAATTGTAAAAATTTATTATTTACTTTTTAGTTGGAGTTCTATCGCCAATACTGCTTTAAATGCTGCTGCAAGTGCTGCACCAGGTCTTTTAATAGGTGCTGTTAGTTTAATTGGTAAACGTGAAGCTACTGATGCTCGTCTTAATGTTAATGATATTCTTGCATTAGTCAACAAATA